GTTAACGCTGGTGTGTGAGTGTTTCTTATACAACGGCTGAGGGAGTGACAACAAATCTGACATATTTATTTTTTCTGACCAACCCTGAGAACCTCGGAAATGTAAAAAGGGTTCATTTTCATTACTTTATTGCATTACATTGCAACTTTTCTTTTTTCAGTTGATGTAAAACTATCACATGAATCAGTTCACATGTTCAGAGGGAGACAGGAATCTGTTCCTCCCTTTATGCTCCCAGCCCAGCAGAGGGCCTACTGAAATGATAATGTAACCTTTCACCATCTGGGCTGTTGAAGCTCTACCAGGATTACATCTGATACCACTGCTGGGATTGTATTTAAATGAGTATAAATGGAAATAGACAGATATTTCAAAATGACACAAAACTTAAAAAAATAATAATACAAAAGTTGACATTCATTACATCAAATAATTAGTCTCAACATGCTGTATACCGCTTTCATTGTCATGTAATTTATAGATAGGCTAGTAACATATCTGACTGTCATCATTAGCCTACATTACATGAGAAAATATTAAACCAAGTGCCATTTATCAAAATGAAAGTATGATAGTACACTTTTCATGGAAAATTTGTTTGATATTTCGTTGTCTCTTCCACGAAATTCTTATGTTTTATATGTTGTCCTTTTGTGATTAATAGGCCTAAGTTACACAATAAATTTCGATGAGAATCCAGCTTTTCTGTCACCTACTTCTAATAAAAGTGGTCACTTCCCCCAAGTGGTCACATATGTACTTGCATGTTATTTGTCATTTGAATTAGGCTATTTACTCAGCATCCTTATTATTATCACAATCATTATGGATCCAGTAAAAAGCGCACATCAATGCAGCTGATCTATGAAGCATATTTGTGTCGTTTATACATTAGTGTTAGGCCTATTTGTAAACCTGATCCAACACAAACGTTGGGGGAAAATATAAACAAATGTAGTATTTATAAATCGCGCTAAATCGATTATTAAAATACTATGTTGTATACTGGGGTGCAATAAAGTTACATTAAACGCTTTATATACCAGCTTAAATGAAAACTGTAAAGACCATCGTTTTCGATGGTCTTCGCACGCCTGCGCTCTCTTGGTATCCGTCCGCGTGGAACTATATTGCTGTCTAAATGTGAAAATCACTGCTTAGGACACAGCACGGGCACCCAATTTCACTGGAGAAAGACTAGTATAAAAGCATAAAATCAGCAGGTTACAGTTTACAAGGTATAACTATTTATACAATTAGCAAACAACACAACGGCGGACTGATTTCAGCCCTTTCCACTCAATTTCATTCGGTGTAGCGGAAGTTCATTTACAACTCCTTCCGGTCCCCTTGCTGGTAAGTTGATGCTGTATTTTTGCGAGTGATTTTGTAATTTATATGCATAATGAGTGCAGAAGTTCCTTGTTAGCTTTTTTTGTGTGAAAGACAACAGCCTTAGACATGTGCACTAATTGAGGTAAAAAGTGCAACTCTTGAGTTCTGCATGTGAATAATGACATGGTGTGTGTTAGCAGCCGGCTAGTCAGTTAGCGACAGTAGGCTCTTCTGTGAATGGCCTGGTCTGCTGCCAGCTTACGCGATACTGTTACAAACACATGTAAATCCTTTTCGTGAAACGCAAAGGCTCTGTGTTAAAGGCAGCTTTGTGATAGAGGGCTTCATTTAGGTTTTAATATGAGCA